TATAATATATATGTTAACTCCAATTTTATTGAGAAAACTGCGTCCTAAATCGATTTATAATTTCACAAGTGTGCCCAGCATATACAACTTAATGTGACTTTAAAAATATACATAGGGTTACTTAAAAGTAGGTTCTGAAACAATTGTTATGAGAGCTTTGGCATACCGGATATATATTTGATATAAAAATTTTATCAATTTTTCTAAAAATAAGTGCTAAATACAACACAACACACAGCGTATGCATATCACAAACAAATATTTACAACACATTAATTAAAAGCTCATGTTTAAATACTGCATTTGATAACGTGGTACGATAAAGAATTATGTTTATAATCTTACAACTGATAAGAAGCCAGTATTTATTCTACTGTAAATATGCACACATTTTTATTCATTTCTTCTGTAAATGAGCCTTTGAAATATTAGAAATTTCAACCGTGAAAATAAATTATTCTCCGATTTTCAGAACGTTGCCAAATTTATCACTTTTTTGAATTTTGTAATAGGCATCCTACTTAAAAATAATTTAAAAATGACTTCTTAGTATTTGTACTAAGCTCTACTGATACATGTAATAATTATACAGGACTGTATAAAATGTGTATAAAAGGCTGCGCTCTTGTATGAATTTGATAATTTTCCAATATAATTTGAATTAATAAACAGTTTTTTGGATTAGTCGAAATTATTGCATAGATTTTTGTTAAAGTATTTATGTTCCGTGTCACCAATCGCTGGAGAAAAACAAACTTTCGCCATCACCTAACATTGAACTGTTATATTAAATTTTAAAAATTAATGCAATCGAATTGCATAAATAATTATAATCTTGAACCAAAAACAATTTAAAAAGAATCACCGGATGATATATTAGGTTGAAAATTGCACAATTTGGCATCCGAGGCCGTACAAATAAAATATTCGAGGTTGATACTTTCTATCCTCATTTCGCTTCATTTGCATATCATTGACAGCAGCAAATTTGAATTGACCCGGATAAGGTCGAAGAATTTGGTTCCGGACAAAATCTTGGCCTTATTTCGTCCACCTACGATTTCTAGTGTTATGTCAGTCAACAAAGAGCGCAAAAAAAACCATTTATTTAAATAAACTTTATTTAGAAATCCCCACAAAATGAGCAATGTATATCATTTACAATGAATATAGATGAAATATGTTGGAGTGGAGATACAAAATTTTAAAAACTCATAACTCATGTACAATTTTAAACACAATATTTAAAAAAAATTTACCACAAAAAAAGGGAAAACACAATAGTAGATTGAAATGCTAAATAAATTTGAAATTTCACACAATAAATTTAATTGAAACATAACAGAAATAAGTAAAAATGAAAAATGGGCAATGAAGTAGACCAATATATAAAACTTTTGGCACAAATGATAGTTGAACGAACAAAAAAAACGACAAAATTTCACAAAAACAGTTACATAATTGTTATAAAAAATCATTTAAATGTTCTTTCAAACTGTTTTAATTTAATTTTCCAAAATAGTAAAATAAAGAAAGGCTTTGTTAGTAATTTTTAAAAAGAAATTTTAATGTTATTCATCATAAAAAAGTTCTATCATAAAAGTTTATTAAATAACTGATTTCTAATGAATTTTATATTCTTTTGGATCAATAACAAATCTAAAAAATATCAGAAATGATTGAAAAGTTAAGTCAAAATTTACTGCCGGCAGTAAGAACTCTTGACCATTATTTTATATATAATTTGTTATTGATTCCTTATAAACATGTTGAAAAATATGAGTTCAAAAATTCTTGGAAAATGTACAAATGTAGTGTTTACGTGTCATAGTATATCACATTGTCCTTATAAACTCTGTTGAGAGATACTGTCTACAGAGTAGATTGGAAAAAGGAAAATATCGTCAATGCCCCTATTTTCTGTCCTTGTGCAAAAATCACGATGGGCACAGCCCTATCTCTTCGATCTACAGAAAATAAAATATTGTCATTGTAGAGCTGTTGAAAACCGATGAACAGTTTCGGGTAAACCGGTAATGATTACATTTAATTTGTTTTTCTTCCTTCCAGGATTTCATTATAAATGTGATCCAAACATTTCTTGGGAAGCGTACATTACATACAAGAAGCCATCTTCGTCTTGATTCTCTTTGTAGACCTCCGCTAGTGTTTTTGACATACTAGCCATACTTTTGTTATTTATTAGTAAATAAAAGGCTTGATTTGCATTTAAGTGCATTCTGTTCCTAAAAACAAAAAGAAAAAAAGACCTTGTGAGTTGAATACTTAAAATCTACCCTAGTTTTTCTATGTTCCCGTTTGCTATATATGCTATATTTTATGCTAATTTTTAAGTTAATAACTAAAAATATTATATGTTATATTTATTATTATTATTATTAATATAAACTACATTAATCGTATATTTTAACTTCTGTAAACACATTTTACATAATATCCAAATAACACATTTTATCTATTTACGAAAATTATTTCATACTTTTTGTTTATTTTGTCAATAAATACACATGCGAATTTTAATTTATCTAGTAATATCTGAATCTTTAAATACATATAAGCTGATAAAGTCACAAAAGCTCTCTTATGATTTCTAAAAACCAAATATTAAATCTTAACATATCTTTGTTGCTAGACCACGTCTGTCAGCAATTCTTCTTAAATCAACACTGAACGGAGAGATTATGAGGACCACGTGATTGTTCAATATACAAAAGAGGCCAGATATCGACGATTGATTTGCTCTTTTCTTATAAACATATCGTTCTTGTTTGTCTCAACACTCGACGGACGAAATCGAAATGCGGAAACTCGATACGTGTGCAAAATATGTTTAACAATTTCGTACATAATCGGAAAAAAAAATGTACGAAATTCGTTTTATTAATATTTCGAATTATAGTGTACGAGAGATGAAAATTCATTAATCTCTTCGAAAATTAAGAAAATTACTTCTAATTGGTATTCAAAGGGAAAAAAAAGACAGAGTTCAAGGGATTCTACTTTTTACAAGCTTGGCCTCACTAATACTTTCGTCTCGTTTAGAATATAGGACAAAAACACGAGATGGCAACAAAATACAAAACATTTGTTTGCATTAAACATTTAACAAATTAAAATTGCTTAATCGTTACTTTACAAATTCGAAATTGCTTAATATCTTGCACAAATTGCCACCAAAGACGACAATCTGAATGCGTGACTAACAAGTAAGAAAAACAATACGAAAATGGATTTACATCCTCTAATATTAAAATAACGAATCCATGGTAGGAAGTGCATTTTCGTGCGTATTTGAAATAATAAATTAAACGATATGGGGTCAGTAACTCTTAAGTGCAGCCTTCGTTGATCGCAATTAAGGCTAGCTATACCATTAAAAAAAATGGAGTGAAATTTCAATAATAAACTCATTAATCGACGAAATATTTATAGCATTACAGTTTATTTATAGAACAAACTAAGCCGCTACTTAAGAGATATTACGTCATCTGACCCATGAACTTTTTATTAATATGATCAAAGTTGTAGAGGAGTTTTAAAAAGAATTAAAACAAAAAAGCCACGTGCAACAGCGAGATAAATGAATTTAAATAGAAGAAATATTAATTTATTTTCGTACGTGATATCGTGTTAGGTAGAAGAATCTAGACAATTCCGAAAGTTAAAGTGATTGTTTATTTGCCAGATGATAGGACAAACTTCATTGGGATTAATTTACTAGAAATTTAGGACGTGTTTGTATATTTTTAATCGCTAAGTGGTCAAACAGGTAAAAGTTGATGCACCGAGAAGTAAACAGTTGTAACAAGATTCGGAACACTACTGCCGTTTAATGAAGGGAAATTTAATATCTACAACGTTCGGATTTCCCCGAAATCTGTTTTAAAGTTCGGGAAAGGAAATGGGCCTATTATTCATTCTGATATTGCAAAAATATAGTGAGAAGCTGTTAAACTCATAACTGACGTCAGCAAATATAGCAGACGATTTTAATTAAAAAAAAAACAAAGATCTAGTGAAGCTCCTCCCTTTAATTCAGGGTCTGCTGATCGCTTCTACTAATCAACATTCTATCAGCAGGAAAACCACGCCTACAAATCTTATATTTCTTTTCGACTGGTCAGAACCGGCCGACTGCTGGCTCGTCCACAAATGACCTTTCGGAATAAACAAGTCTCGACCTTGAAATTATACACGAAACTAACAGATCCTTCTTTTTAATAAAAAAAAATTAAAAATCTATTTTAAAAACTTGTCGAATTACAAAATTCCTTAATCGTGAGATCCGATATTATCAATCGGAATTGCTAAATTTGTCCGAGGAAAGTGTTTCGACATTCCGTCCAGTTGCAGCAACGTGAGGAATTCAGACGGAAACCCCCTTCCTCGTTGACATATAAGAAATCCTTCAAGGACTAAACATTCTAAAAGAAACGACACGAGAGGCACCCAGACGTCGCCAGTACCTTATAAAAACATCTGACGTAAGATTTTCTTTAAGCTATACTTTCTCTATGTAGGTCAAGTGCAACAGTCCTTCCACAAAATTAACAGAATCCCATCTTTTGATACACTCGAGAACAATTAAATGGTGACATTTTGTATAAAATCGATTGGAGACAAATGATTTGTAGAGTAATTGGAAGAAGATTCGGTGGAATCGGTTCCTCGAAGATTAAATTTCGGCACTTCACCGAATATCAGTGGAGCCGAGTCGCGTGACCATCATCCTGTTTACTTCTCCGCATCAATTGATGCGAGAGTAGCATAAACTAGAGCTAACGGGTTCGGATCGTTCCAGTTCCGACCAGTTATATCGAAGGGCTGTCGAGCAAGGGCACGTGACAATAAAAATGGTTTTTCCGACGCCAGAATGACTGAAAAGTGTATGACCCGATTTTGTACGATTTGAATTTTTCCCCCTTCCAGATGAAGGTTTTTTGGTATCCGATATTTAATAAGCCCTTTGGAGTTACATTAACCTCAAATTTCCCTGTATCGATGATAGATAATGATGGGATTATTCAGATTTTATGCTTTCTCCTCCTCTTTTCTACTTTTTAAACAGTTATAAAATGAGGTACCCTCTTCAAAAATGTTAATGATCTTGTTTTCACCGTAATTTGTGCCAATCTGAGATTAAAAAGAAAATTTTAAATACTGTTTTGAAATTACATTTAATTCAAAAGTTACGATTTTACATCGCTAAATTAATGGTAATTTTTAATTTACTTTGAAAATTTAGCTTACTTCGTTTTTAATCTTAATATTTTACTTCCGATGGATTTTAAATCGAAAATTTGACTTCACAATCTGCTCAATTCTTTTTTAATGGCGAAAAATTTCATCGTTCTATTTTAAAAATTCGAATGCTAAGTCGATTTACAAGGAAATATCGATAATTGATATGGAAATTAAATCGTTTTTCCTCAAACAAAGTAATCAAAACGATTTAAAAACAAGTTCGACAACGATTTTATCATCTTTTTTAATTAAAGATTTAATACTTTATCGGCACTTACTCTACGCAGTATTTTTTGTGAGCCAAATTTAAAACTATGTATAAATATTATGATACCGCGTGTCAATTAACTAATGGTAAAACAATCTTTTCTATTTTAAAAATTCAACTTTGGACATTCATCTTTGGAATTAATTTAATCGAAAAATTAAACATTTTATCAGAAAGTTTGGACTTTGAGAAATTTGGAAACCTTGACATTGATTCGGACCAAACCTCTTAAAACGAATTATTTTGAAATAGATTTTCGTAAACTTTTAAGATGGAGTTAAGTAAAACTTCATTTTTTTTACATAACTTTTCCAATTTTATTGATAATATAGATTAAAATTTATCGTAAGTGGCTATTTAAAAACTCGAGATTTACCTGATAATCGTGACGAATTGTGACATCGTGAGCTCTTGAGGAACCAAAAATTTCGTCTTATCGAGAAGAGGAAGATGGACTTCTTTGTAATAACGTTCTACAATAACCTGGAATTAAAAATACACGCTTAAATGAATATAAAATAAAAGTTTCTTTTTTTAATTCTAAAATTTATATTTGTATCAATCAAATCTTAACGTGGGATTAAAACAGAAGCGATCATATTACGCGACATTAAAAAGAGATAGAGAAATCTATATGTTAGTCCGTAACACCTTGACACAATTGCCTCGACTTTAAAAAACAAAAATTGTTTCAGTTATTTGAGTTCAACGATCCCGTTCGAGTTCGGAACAGAATGACCTTCGTTGATTCCGCATCTCAAATTTTGCTTATTTTACAATAAAATCTATCACTTTTTCACTCATCTTCCGTGAGGAATCTTGAGTAGTTGCCGGAAACCACTCCAGAAACTGGTAAAAATAAATGGAACATAGCCCACGAGATTTTTTTTTAACTTAAAAAAAACTGATTTGGGCTGGTTTGCTTACTTTTTTTTTTATCTTGGAGAGAGTACAGATAAGATTTAACTTTTTCGAGCTTACAGCTGGTATAAACCCATTGCGTAAAGCCTAATTATTCTTCTTCTGATCACGAATTGATCAGATGATTTCCGACGAACCAACACAATTAGGTCAAAAATCGAATGTTCTTTATTTATATATATATATTTTTTGTTTCTTTTTGTTTTTTAATCTCCGTTTCTTACTTAAATCTATAATTTATATATGGAATATGAGAAATTACTCGCAGATATGTTGTAAATATATTGCCGGATTAGAGAGAAAGGAACAGGTTTAAATCGACTTGACACAGTTTGACTCTGGAAAAAGAAACAAGTTTTCGATCATGGATCCATAAATGGAAGCAAAATTCGCCTTTTAAATAGTGTATATTGTGGTGTAAATGCACTTCTTCGCAAATAGATCATTGTCATATTACATCACAGAGTTGATAGATTTTTCGTAAAGAGAAAAATTCCTTGGCCCATATTCGATTTATTACTGTAACTGGTTGACGCTAAAAAAGGGACATCAGCTCGGAATCATCTACCTTTTAATTGCCTTGAATATTGGTGCCTTTAACCTATTACGCAAATTCAATACACACACATACTTTTTGCATAGCTCATTTCCCGATTAACATAATTTATTTTCTGAAACGGCATTTAAAATTATTAACGTCCACTTTATCCGTCCGCATCTTCTAGTATTCTTATCAATTGGTGTTACTATATATGACGCAAGTGTTAACCGACACTTATGTCGAAATGAATTACGTAAGCAGACAAAAAAACTCTTCCTTTTATTCCTATCTTATTAGTATAGTCATCATCTTAATTTGAATTTTACAAACTTTACTTGAAACAACTTTAAATTCACTTTGTGTATGGAAGAAATTGAACTAAAACGGGGTGGTGCAACAGTCATACGACTTCCAGCTGTCATAAAAGTGTGACATTTTCCACCAGATAAGAGAATAGACAAACTGCGACTAAACTATCCAAAAGATACGAGAAATAAAAACTTATCGGCAAGATAATTCCCATTTTCGATAGAAAACAGAATTTAAAAAAGAGATACGGAGAGATGGCTTTTAAACTCGTGACTAAAGAACATTAACCTCGTGTCAATAGGGGTTATCAAAAACAAACATTGTACGTGATGTACGCTACCGTAACAAATTTGCATTTTTAATGCAGATAAATTCTTTTTTAAAAAAAGTCACTTACCGGTATTTTCGTGGGAAATTTTGACTTGATTCCCTCGACTTCTTCTTTTCGGGTGGCTGAAAAGAGATTTAAAAAAACGTTTAACAAAATTCTAGAAATGTCTGCTGGTACGAATGCATTTTAAATGTCACTTTAAAACGAACTTTGCATTTAGCTATTATTAAAACGAATTGCCTTCTTCGAGAACAAATGTAACAAATGGTAGAGACTTCAACCTGGACAAGGTGCAGACTATCTTTAGACCGATCTTTGGACTAATTTTAGAACATATTCGAGATTTAGAACTCACCTAGTGATTTTCTTTGCTTAAAGGTTCCCATGGTGTTGTAGTTTTTGTCTGGGGTCATAGCTTTCGACGACCTGCGATGTCAACGATGCTCCTGTCTTGTAGACAAGGCTCTATACTGCACCGCAAACGCAGACTGAAATACAATGTGGTGCTATCACGGAAGACTGAGTTGATGTGGCGTTAGAAACGGAGTGTGGTGTAATATCTGATTGGATTGCAACCACCACGGCGCAGTCTCCATGCCGACACGTGATAAGATAGCAAAGCTCAAAATTTTCTCGCATAAACAATTTCTTCTACAAAAATTTGTAAAAATTAAGTAAATAAGAAATGTTATTTTTATAACATACAAACAAATAAGACAGTTTATTTTATTTTTTTTTCGAAACGAATTTACTTTTGGATTAATCTGGCTGCACGAAAGGCAGAAAGGACGTTGGACCCGAATGGAAAATTTATAAATAATAGAAATTCGAAGCAACGTTATCGAGTTTAAAGGATTTTTAATCAGCTGCATTGCATCTCGAGGCATCGTTTTCGATTTCCTCGCCGTTTCGCGCTAAGTATGATTTATAGTATAATAAATTACGTCTCACGAGGAATTAGGAAACTCAACTAAGAGGTTCAACGAGCTATCCAGGGGCTCCTAAAAAACCGAAAGGATGTTAGCCTGGTTTCTTTTAAAACCTTTTAATAGTTTTATTAATCGTAAAGATGTTTTACGAGAACAAAAGCCCAAACTATAATCGGTATTCGCCGAGGTGGTCTTATTTCGTCTAGCGCTGATAACAATACCGTATACATTCCGACAATTATACACTGGCAGACAAATGATGGATATTTAAATAAATAATTTTTTTTTTCCACAGATAATCTTTTACTCTATCGCCGACTTGTCATAGCACGTGTTCGTTATACCAAAATTTCAACACTCGACGGATAATATGACCCAATCCTATTTTCTGTCCTTGCCTGAGTTATACGCTTAATTGTCACACTTATGCACTTATCGTGGGCGACGGCACCCTTAGGGTCATTTCGATTGTTGTGTGCTAATTTGTAACTTTACCTTCGTATACACGTAACGCTCGTATGTATCGCGTTATTGTTACAACAGATATCTTTTACTAGATCCGGGTTCGATTCTCGTTTGGGCCTCTCCGATCAGGTAGTGACAAATCGTGTTACGCCTCACGTATCGACTAAAATTAAAAAAAAAAAATAAAAAATGCTATTTGATACACGGAGAACATAGGGCATTCTGCCATTATCACAGATTTATTTTTCGTAAACCGGAGTATAAATATACAAATCAATCACAACGATGTCATAATTTAAAGAAAAAAGTACTGAATGACTCTTTAAATAGAACTGGATCAAAATAAAAAGGATTAGGTTTCTTAAGTAGCGCAGTCGTGATTATTAACGAAAACACGGTAAGCCAAACGGTGACCATCACTGTGATTTTACTATAACAGAGCACATATCTAATCCTTTATAAAAAAAAAAAATCCCGGTCACATGATCGAAGTTTCTCGAACTGTTTTATTTCAGTCCGTAGCTAACAGCATCGGACCGGCCGACTCCGGTCATCGGACAACCTTCAAACTTCACTCCTCCCCTTTTAAAGGCCGAGTCGTAAATACGTGTAAGTGCAGATAGTTTTCTTCCACAAACCCGGAAGGAAATATCAGAAAAAAAGTGTCGCCGCTTTTGTTTATCCAGACTGGCGTGTCTTAATTAATATGCAAATTGCATTATTGTTTTCGCACAATGCCTGCTTTTATCTCGCTTTTAACCTTTCTGCTCTGGCAGAGTAGTGAGTATGGATGTTGGCCTAATGCAATAGAGGCCCTTCTACGGGTTTAGGAGGTTTGTCAAAGTTCGTTAACCTTTTCGTCCGGTCGAACTCTTCCTTACATGGAGTTTTTCCTCTCACAAAATTTTCCTTGTAGATTTTAACTTATTTGGATGCATTTTTTCGCGCGTTACTCTGTTGGTATTCCCGAAATCTAAAAACGCAATCAAGGAAATTAAAAAAAAAAAAATGTCTGAAGGCTCCGAAGGTTTGACGTCACGGGCAACCACAAATTAATTAAAGTTAATTGCAATTAAATTAAGAATACGGAATGCGATTACTGATTTAAAAAAAGACCTTGTTTACAAGAGCAAATTGCGAAACTGCATTTTTATTTTATTTTTTAGTTTAAAGCAATCTAACGGACGATATATCAATATTACCGGATTGGATTTATGAATACTCCATCGTGGCTTTCTGATGCAATATTGGCAGCGCATCCTGCTCCGTTCTATCTACTAAAAAAAATAGATATTTTGATAGCCCTGTTATAATTTTTTAACTTCTAAATCCTTTAAAACTCTTATCTAGCTTTTGTGAGGAGTAAAAAGTAAATTACAGTTCTATCGTTAATTATAAAAATTCTAAATACAGAATTGTAAAAATATAAAAGATGGATTAAGTGTCCGCATATCAACGAAGAACTTTTAATAGTTACGCTCTATAAATCGTCCTTGTTTCTTTCTTGTGCAAGGTCGTAACTGTCAATCGGGATCTGACAAATGGGAGTAGAAGAATCTAATCGGGTTAGAGTAAATTGCTACGATGTCTTACGTGCAATGTCACAAATATCACACCTGACCTCTCCATTGTAAATCAAAACGCGTCGTCGCCATCCATCAAACTGACGCCGTTATTAAAATTTGATCGGGCAGATTAAACCAGTTTCTGAATAAACTACCTTCTTAATTAATCCATAAGGCGCTAGCTTTATCGCTTATCTATATTTACAATATGCATTATTTAAATGTGCAGTACTATATACAAGGCTCTATTATACTCTAATCGTTTAATTTTTACTGTTAATGACCCATATAATTTCATAAAAGTAATACTATTCGTAAGTGTATCGAGTTCCTATTAAATTCAATAAAAATCTAATTTTATCTTTAATTTATAAATTGAATTTCCTTTCAATTATTTCTTTTTAAAAAAAAGGATCCTTGTCCATATTTCTTGTTATTGAAGAATTGTTTTACTAAAATATATATCCCCCATAGTAACTAAATAAAGTGTTGGGTGTATCTACTTTTATCTCTTGATAGTTTTGCTGTCTATTGACATAAGCTACCATAAAAACAAATAGATAAAATATTCCAATAATATGGATATTAGCATAAGTTTTAATTAAGAATTAATGCTTGCATAAACCGGTGTGATAGTGAATTTTTAGTTCATTTTGATTGACTATAAAATGTAATTTCGTGTTAGCTATTAAGATAAGATAATTTTAACGTGATTCTTCAGATGCACGCTTATAAATTGCAAAAGTCGGAAGTGTTTAAAGAAGTAGGAAATTACAGAATATTTAAATTAATGGTTTTGCTTTGTTATTATCTAACAATATCCTTCTATAATTTTATGTAGATTGGAAAATTACTAATGTTCAAAGTCTATTTCGCAAATATACCCGTAAAATACGACATTAAATAGCATGTAGTTCGTTTGATCTTTAATTGATGAAAACAAAGTTATAGATTTCCATCTTTAATTCACTTTTCAAAGTTAAAATCAGGTAAAGATTATCCGGTCAAATGGTACAAAATTCAAGGATATTAACAGAATATCTTAGAATCACGAACTACTTTCGTCACTCGTAGTTCGTTTTCAAGAAACAGAGATAAAATTACGTACAATTATACATGTAAAGGACTTTGAATCTTGAACGTAAATGCAAAGAATATTTTGGTTCTTCGAAGATTAGCAGAAATTCAAACGGTAAAGGAGGAAAAAAAAAAAAATTGCATATAACCCTATAACAATCATTCTCATAGATCTGAATCGATAAGAATTTTATATAGGTTAATTGAAGATTTTAATAGTACAATATCCAAATTCTAAAGAACAATGCTTATCACTTGACGTCACGATAGACGACGAACAAGAATATCCCATTCTAATATAGCAACATAGTTGAAAGATCGGATTCCCTACGAGATAATTATCAATCGTATCTTAACTAATTTTTGTTGTGTCTGGATACCGAGGACGATAAAAAGTTCCATTAATTTCAGTTTTTACGCATTAACTTTGATAGAGATCATTGAAATTGCGTTATTCGAAACTGATAATACGTCTCGATAAAAAAAGAAAATTAAATACGAAGCCTATAGAGAAAGAATTAGAACGTATTNATTCATTCTGATATTGCAAAAATATAGTGAGAAGCTGTTAAACTCATAACTGACGTCAGCAAATATAGCAGACGATTTTAATTAAAAAAAAAACAAAGATCTAGTGAAGCTCCTCCCTTTAATTCAGGGTCTGCTGATCGCTTCTACTAATCAACATTCTATCAGCAGGAAAACCACGCCTACAAATCTTATATTTCTTTTCGACTGGTCAGAACCGGCCGACTGCTGGCTCGTCCACAAATGACCTTTCGGAATAAACAAGTCTCGACCTTGAAATTATACACGAAACTAACAGATCCTTCTTTTTAATAAAAAAAAATTAAAAATCTAATTATAGTTACAGAATTTCTACTTTAAAAAATTTTTTAAATTAGAATTTCAAATCTTTTAGAGTCCTTTCTTTAGGTTAATTATAATTAATACTTTTAGAACTTTCAGAACTTAATTTTTAGAAGGTGTTTTTGGTTAAAAATTTACGGATAATGAAGAAAATGCCTTTCTTATCAACAATTATATACCTTTATTAATATTTATGACATTAATTTCTTCACACGCAATGCGTACTAATAAACAAATTTTAAAAATATATCATTGATACAAACGATAGAAAATCTAAGAAATTATTTCAAAATTTAGTTCTTATATTTTCCCATTTTCTTTATCATTAATTAACCCATACTATTAATCATTATCATTAATTATCCATTAATATAGTAAATTTAATTATATATTTAATTGATATAAATTATAAATTTCATAATATAATTGAAAATATTGTTAAGATTTTTCCTTTTATCATATAGAAAAAAATGAAACAAATCAATAAAAGTATATTAAATTTTGCTCAAAAGAAATATCTATTATTTAAATAACCGTATCAAATAAAAATTTGAATTTTTATCCAAAAAATCTAGTTAAAATTTTAATTTCATATCGAAATAATTATCGTAGGATTCTTAATATCAAATACAGTATATCTTACCACTACATTGGAAGTGAAATACTTGGAAAATAGAGAAAATTCTTATCATGTTTTGTTATCTTGTCAAAACAAAGAGTCAAGATATGATAGATAACGTTTCTC